CATAAGCTCTGCAAAAAAACGAATGGCCAACGAACTTTGTGGACACCCCTAATAAATGAATCGACACATCGATAAGAGGCGAATGCCTCCCGTCCCGAAGCTGCCGCCTGAAACAGGTTCAATTTCTCGGTGGTCCTTACAATAACCTCGCTGCTGGCTCAAGTAACTGGTTTAGTTAGACGAACGTAAGCGTGCTCGACCAGCGCCACTGCCATGTAGATGGAGTAGCGCGGCTTGCCACCGCATGACTCAAAGCCTTCATGTAATCCGTACGTACACCAAATTTTCCGTCTCTACTGGATAGGTAACTCTTTGTCACTCATCGGGGCAAGGCACTGAAGACCACGATTCTACCAGCAAGACGAATGCGGGAAGCATTCCAGAAGTAGGCTGAGCCATTCAGTGCCGTACCCCAACAAAGCCTAAAGGGAACAAAAGAATAAGAAACCATTCCAACTCGCTCACATCCTCTCTCAACCTTCAAAAGTGCTTTTAACCTACACAGTATGCCCAGAAGGGCCATTACCTCGTAGGCAGTGCCCCTTCGAATCATTCTATTCAGGATGAAAATAGGATGAAATAGTGTTTGAGCGAGTGATTTCCCACTATGGCTTTCGACTTTCCGCTCTCTGAAGAAGGCAGCAGTGCCGAAACGTCGACCGATTAAATGGGGTTGACAACCTTGTCTACAACTCCTTGTGGCTTGTCTAGTAGCGAAAGCATTCTGCAAATGCAGGTCCATCAACTCACGGAGTATTACGTCCACATCGGTTGTCATTGGGCCATTGGGCTAATTTTTCCAAAGGGAAGTGAGCATTGCAGAAGGTATTCACCACACGCGACAAAAGGGTCATCGCACGTCGGCGCAATTCGGCTGAGGAGGAGGAAGGTCAGGGAGGGGTATTCTGCACTCTCGTTATCTCCCACTGGCGTATTCACTGCTTTACACGAGTTGACAAGCACAGACTTCAACTAACATCAGCTTACGGCTCCACTAGGCTTCTGTCCACCACTTGATGACTCGAGGCGACGATGGAAGATAGCGAAAGTTCAACATACCTCCCAAGCCAAGCTGTCCACCCATGTCTTCCAAAAAAATTTTCGGCAGATGACCCAAATAAGGATATGTGGCATGGTTTTAGAAGAAATGCCTTCCTGAATTTGATTTGTCCCTTTTCAAGTGGCCGACGCTCGAGGTATCAGGGCCGTATGTGAGAGGAAAATAAGAGGATCGTCCTGAGGAAGGATTTGTACACTATGCCATAGTTGACCCCGCATGGAACATCTTTATTCCAGCTTAGGTCCTGCCTTTGGAGGAAACTTTTCGCAAAACACGCCCTGTTCAGAAGTTCTTTCTCTCCTACGTGCTCCCTTTCCCACATTTTCTCTCAGAGGCAAATACGACTCCTTTCCCCGAGCGACCGAATCTAGCCCCTCGCTGGGAAACCCTAACGTGCAACGTGCCATGCTTCATTCCCAGAATTACGAGGCGACAGGATTCTGGAACCGTTTTCAATTTTTCCAAGAACGTTTCATGGTTAGAAAATTTGCTGGATGGCACCGCCATATCACCTTGCATCGTAGAGCTGGAAAGTGAAATTTCGCTATGATTTTTTTATATTTTTCCTCTACTGAGCGGCATATTCTAAAGTTTATCTTCCATGAGATAAACATGTTTCGAGTTGATTGCCTGCTTGCCTGCCCGCTGTGAAGGAAAACGCCTGCCAGCAAGGCTCCATCGCTCCGTAGTCTTATAAACAAAGCTCGATATCGATCACATATACACACAGCTGAAGGGGTATAATTACTACTAGACGACGTTATAGTTCGAGTGTAAAGTTGGCTTCGTCGAAAGGCGATACCAGGCATATTCGTCGACTGGCAGGGTCCGATGTCTCAGTAACGCTACAACTCCTTGTGGCTCAGTTTTTTACCCAGCAGAAGAATCTACAACACCGCATGTCTACCTACTGATACCTTTTTGCGCTCAATCGTGCCAGTGAGGTCATTCAGACAAGGGCGTTCTTCCCTTCAGTGGATCCTTCCTTTCAAGATAGTAAACGCACCAATGAGGAAATCATAATGGACCCAGTGGCCCCGCCCATAAGATCACTGCGCAATGTGCCTCTGAAGGAACTATAAGCGATGACCTATGAAGTTGAAAAGAATGCTTGGGAAGGGTAGTGTAAGTAGCAACCCTGTGCCAGTTTCGCGGCGGGCGAGTTATAAGAGTGCTAAGGGCGAAGTCGCTCCAGTGACTCCACCTCCAGACTCCGCCTTACTAGTAGTCTTCACGAAATGATTGCCCCATTGTCCATTTCTGGAGTCGCAGAAGTCGTTTAACATAACCAAGCTGTGACCCGTTCAAAACAGTGTCTTTCGCCTTGAAACTTGCTTCAAGCTATGGGCTTATTAAAGGTTTTCATAATTTCCTTCCCCAATTTTATTTACACATGGGGCGTTAGGGGACCCTTCGCAACTTTTCTTTCATCCTTGAACACCACCACTACGCTTCTTGGAGGTCGACTAACCGCGGCACACATTAGTGCCTTTGAGCATCCTTTCTGCGCTTTACACATCTTCATTCAAAGCAGGATAGCAGGGCGGCTAGAGTGCTTAGACTCATAATTCGCCGCTACGAGCCAGGAATACGATCCCTGCGAGGCAAAATCCTTGCCCAAATCCTTGGCTGCGCAAAAATTGCAAAACGGTGACGATACCAACGTCAGGCCCAGTTTGACAGGCCGGCTGCCACTTTGAGACAGATCTGCGACTTCTTATAAAATGCGATGCTGTTGTGGGCCACTCAGTAGCGAAACAGAACCGTACGTAAGGCTCTAAGTAGATTGGCAGCACCCGAGACAGGGTTAAAAAGGAGGCTATTGAAGCGTTCTCAATTTTTCGTTTTGCTAGTTTTTGTTTCATGAAAGTCAAGCTAACAGAATACATGCTCTTCACTAGCAGACGACTTTACGCGTTGATCCGCGAAGTGTACATCTACAGCGATTCTTATATAATATAACCCTAAGTTGTCTGTTGTGTGTGTGTGCTCTGTGGAATGTCTGTTGTGTGTTGTGTTTGACCGGAAAATCATACTCCTTCACAAGAAATAGGCGGTGTCAAACTGATAGATGATGTAGGAGTCGCGGCAGGACATCTGATTGCGTGGTGCAGGAGCGATAGCAGTGATAAGATACCATAAGGGGCCGTATAAAGGCGAAGTCAGCAATCATAACGCGCGTCACAGCAAGACTAGAGCGTTGCGTTCAAGAAGTAAGATAGGAGGCAGGACAGGAACATTATTGGTGGGTGGCAGGAAGTGATAAGAGCTGATTATCGATTACTCATAAGGGCCTTAGGAAAGGAGGGTCACCAGCTCCATAGCGCGGAAAACAGGAAGGCTAGAGCGTTGGTTCCAAGAAGTAAGATAGGGTGCAGGATGGGAACATTATTGGTGGGTGGCAGGATCGTCTGATAAACTGTCTGCATAAGGTAGTACCACTAAGGGCCTAGAAAGAGTAGTTACCGGATTAAGTTAAAACGCCGGCCCACAGCAGCGATGAGACGTTTGATTTCAAGGCAGAACTTTGTAGGGGGCAGGATGGGAACATTATTGGTGGGTGGCAGGACGTGATAACAGCTGATAAGATACCACAAGGGACCTTAGAAAGAGCTAGGTTACCTGATTTACAACGCCGGCCACAGCAGCGATGAGTACGTTGCATTCAAAGAAGATTAGATAGGGCTGCAGGATGGGAACATTTATTGATATACGTGAGTGGCAGGAGTGGATAACAGTCTGATGAAAACCACAAGCGGCCTTAGAAAGCAGCAGTTACCTGCTTCAATAACGCCGCCAACTAGCAGCGTGCAGACGTTGATTTCAAGAAGTTGGATAGGGGCAGAGAATGGAACATTATTGCGTGGGCTGACAGGTGTTATACAGCTGATAAGATACCACAAGGGGCCTTAAAAATAAGGGTCACCAGCTCCATAGCGCGGACCACAGCGACGACGGGATGTGGGTTCCAAGAAGTTAGATAGGGGCAGGATGGGAACATTATTGGTGGGTGGCAGGACGTGATAACAGCTTATCAGCTGTTATCACGTCCTGCCACCACCAATAATTGCTTCCCATCCTGTTTAGCTTATTATCAGCTGATAAGCTGTTATCACGTCCTGCCACCCACCAACATAAACTTCAGCACCGGTGCCCAAGGAACAATGGTTAGAGGCTTCGTGAGTCAAGTATTCTATCCCTTAGCGATATGGTTACGACCGCTAAGCTCTCGAGTTTCGACGAAAATTAAAAGCCCTGGAAGCTGCTCAACGGAAGTACTAGGATGTGAGAAATGTGAGGATATATCACCATGATATCGATGTTATTACCATCAAAAGTCTTTCAACTGCTAAGCTGTCCTATTTCCAACGGATGGTGAGTGTTTCTTAGAAATGTGATAAGCACCAGACATTAGCAAACGTTCATTAAATAGGAGAATCATAATGAAATAGGCCGTATTCTAAAAAATTGTAATCGGGCGAAGTGTTCGGGGTCAATACAGGAATCCTGTCAGCGCAGTACCATTACCATAGGTTCAACCATACGCGCAGTAGTGCGCGTCAGCCAAGCTTGTGAATATATCTAATGCCGTGATCAATCCCTTTGTGATGCGACACGATTCTACTTTCCATTCTGAAACGTAGTGGCTTATTGAATGCGGTGTGGCCTATACAGTGATTTGCGGAGGGCCTGTATAAGTCAGTGTTATTATCGTCCTAGACGAATCTGGTACAAATTCACAGTCTCCGGAAGGTAGAAGGCTTGGTTGGCCTGGGCGGGAGTCGACCCGGAATTTGCACTCAAGACCATGCGGGTCGTGAGCGCGTCACTTGTCACTACACCACCTCCTACCCAGTGTACCATTAATCACTAGAAATCCTTCTATCACTTCGCAGCGGCTTCCTTCGTCTTATTCTTCGGCGTTTGTCCCATTGTAGAAATGGCATCACAAAACGCTACACGAGTTTTGATGCCATTTCTACGGTTCAGTCGAGGTGACCATACACTGTTTCTTATATTGTAAACCTTTCTAGATTTAGATTTAGATTATTGCATGTGCTTTCTGAGAAATCTGCTTTCCCTGTCTAAGTCGTCATGCAGCATGTCGATCCAGCGCTGCTCGAAGTGTCCTTAAGGCCTGAACTGAGCTGAAAAGTCCCGCAAACGGGGTCAGTCTTAGCGCAAAGGATACGGTGGCGCCAGCAGACCAACGCAATATTTTTCTTCGCTAGCGAGCCAGTACTTAGCGCCCGCCTTCTCATTCCATTCCAATGTTCTATCTCTGAGTTTCTTCAATTCCGTCGACTTCTCCTCATGACTCCTCTTCTTTGCCTCATTACCAACTCTTATTCTATCAAACATCTAAACTTCAGCAGCGCCTGCTGTGAAGAATCCCTGTGAAGACCACGTATGTGGATGGGGAAAGGAATGCGTCGTCGGAAAGAAAGGCGAACCGCACTGCGAATGCATTAGCAAATGCCCCGAACTCGACGGTGATCCGATGGACAAGGTAGGGAATTACCTGTAAGATAAAAGAATGAACAATGTAGTTTTCGATGATTGGCTCCTTTTCAAGTGCGCCACGCCCTCTACTTCCACTCAGAGTCGTAAAGGTTCCCTGATTCCGGGCCTATACAACAAATTGTTGATATCGGCCCACGTATGTACTGCAGATGTCGCTGCAACCAGCCAGGGTGGTTTCGAGAGTTATGGGATGAGCCCATCGGCGGTATTTCCATCACCGGTTGTTTTTCTCCGCACTAGCCGACCACTACTGGCAAAGCAAGACAGCTGGAGGCGAGCTCACTCCACCCCCTGGCACTCTCCAACTGACTAGATGTTATACAAGCTTCAGGTTCTCTTACCAAAAAAAAATTCAGTTACCAACTGACCATTTCTCAAAGTATGGTAGAGAGCTTGATTGATCCAAGCGGGAATCGATTTAGTATTTGGATCCCAGGACGTGGTAAGCAGCACCATTTGTCACGCAAAAGCTAAGCTGCGGCATTCTGCTAGAAGACTGCATCCTATGAAAACCACAGCAGCTGTTGCCTCAGATAATATCTGGGAACAACGAATGATTTCTTCAACTACCACTAAAATTCTGCAAGGTTTACTATTTGAAAAAAAAGAAATCATAGAACAAACGACTGGGCGACGATTTTTTCCAAGCATTCTCTAGAAGCTGCCATCAAGCGGGAAAGGGTGGAGGAGGAGAGGGCAGCGGGGACACTCGAAACAAAAAAGCCGAGAAAAGTCAACAACCTTCTTCCCACAGGCGAAAATGGCCCCTCCCCTCCCACCGGCGGCCAAGTTCAAGCCCAATCCCTGAGGATCTCCAGCCTACGACGTGCCCTCTCCCGAACATCATAGTAACAGGGAAAAAGATAAAAGGATGAACATCCAGCAATCATCTTTTCGCTTTTCAGGAACGTGGGACGTTTGTGGGACGCCCACTCACCCTAGTGCGAGCAGCTGATGAAGAAGTCAGGGGTTCCATCCTGCAGAGACGTCTGGTACCGCACAAGGGTCTACCTAAGGTCTGATCCCCGCATGGCGTACGTGGCACGCGGCACAATTGGCCACAACGTCATTTTTTGGGCGGTGGTGAGTATACAAAAAAAGCAAAAACCCACAAATGCTGATCCAGCCGCGGTATAGTTGATGACGTCATAATAAAATTCAAATTCAAATTTAGTTTTACAATTTAGAAATTAATGTCATCGAAGTTCGACTTCTAGGTATGCGCCAACAACAACGAGACATTCACCTCGCTTTGCGATCTCTACCGTGAACGTTGCTTTTGCAAGAAAGGCTCGAAGCTTTGCGAGAAGAAGTCCCACGCCAAGGTAACCCGCAAGAGACAATTTACTCCAAACATGACCCTAACCATGGAAGTCTACCTATAGGTCCATCTGGAGTACCTCGGTGAATGCAAACAGCTTGAGGAATGTACCGATGAGCTCATGGCTCAGTTCCCTGAACGCATGGCTGACTGGCTCTTCCAGGTAGGTCTGGCCACCTCTGGTCGTCAAGTGGCGGCCAAATGATGAAGGCAAGGTGATTCCTAATTGATTTACATGTTACAGGTAATGAAAGAGCTAAAGAAACGTCGTGAGCTGCACAAGCTCGAGTGGGAGGAACTGATCCAGGAGGCTGAGACTGATGACGAGAAGAGACACGTCTACCCAGTAATCTGGAAGTTCTGCGACTTGGATATCAAGCCCCACGACAAGGTGACGACTATAGCGGCTAGTCATCGGCTGATGAAGGACCGCGAGGCGCTGTTCGGCTTGGGAGGGGCATCTTGAATTTTGGCTGGTTCATTAGTTCATGCCAACTCACAGGTCTTCATTTGGCGAGACTTGTAAACCCTTGTGAAGCTGCGAAATGAGGCGAATGAGTCACATCGATCAAAGGCATCCATAGGTCGACTAGTGCCATTTGCTGTCCCCACCAAGCCGAACTGCCGTATATTATTCCGTGCCATACTAGCTGGAACAAAATATCTGGCTCTATGAATTCAAAAGGTTGAGCTTCTCTTTTTGAGGTTGTCACCCATCACGAGCTGATCCCTATCACTGCTCCAGTAATCCCCATGGAATCGTGCATCAAGCCTTTCCTAGAGGGTTGCGACACCGACAAAGACGGAACCATCTCCATCCATGAATGGGGAAAATGCCTTGGATTGAAGGACGGTAAGTAACTTTCTGCGTTACTGTGAAGCACCATAGCGCGTTTCGATGCTCACAAATGACTTAGACGGAGGTATGGCCTTCGAATCAGAGAAGAGCTGTTTCAATCGCCTTCGATATTATACCGTCCTCTCAGTGCATGGCGCAACCTGGTCACCTCATTCCGAATTTCTAACCCAATCCATTTTCAGGTGAAATCCAGGAACGCTGCTAGATCAACTTCACATACATACGTACTTATTCACATATGCTTACAGCAACTCACTGCCTTATTACCACCACCAACAGTACTGTATACCTGCCTTGATTTACTGTTATATTCTAAGTTGTATCCACTCATAAATAAATTGTATTTATGGTTTGCTCATAACACGCGGTAAATAATAAAATGCTCAGAGAAATTTCTAGAATACCATTTTACTTTTGTTAGACCGTGCTCAGTCATTGCTCATTACTGGAGAATCCTTGAGAAAGAATGTGCAGCCTTGCCCGTTGCGGATGCTGGGGCGCGCTAGGGATCTCACTTCTGCGCGACAACAGCCCCTTCTCCACCACGTGGAAGCCAGCAGACGACCACATTGGGGGAAACAGGCCAGACCAAGCCCCCCCCCCCCTGGGACTGGATATAGAGTACAGGATGGGATGTCTAGCATATTTGACACGGGAAAAACCCTTGAAGAGCCAACATCCGG